AAAATTTGAGAAAAATTAAAGAAAAAAGAAAATAAATTTGTGAAGGTTGTATTAAGACAAATATTAGACCCAGTAACTTTGTTTGAATGTGTTTTTTGGAATGTGTTTGTAATATAGAGAGAAAAGTAGAAAGAGGGGAGAATAGTTATAATGGTCATATATAAAGAGGAAGGTACCTAAAAACAAAAATTATGAAGGAGGACTGCCACGGGCCTTTCCCCATGCAACCAAGAGCTAAGAAAGACTCTCAACTTGCTTAGGTCTTGACCAGAGGTCCCATCCCAATGCAACAGTATTCTTTAAAGTCTTTATGTCCTTGGGTATAAAGCTTATTTGCTTTAGAAAAGTAAAGAGAGAAAAACGCTTCTTGGAAGAAGATTTCCAAAAAAGGAAATTTTCAAAAATCAGCGGTGAACAGGTGAGAGTTTTTTTTTAAAGATTATATAAACAATAATTTTATGGCCATTTATATCATTTTGATTAAAAAATACTTCTAAAAATATAATTATTGTATTAGCCCTTTATGATTTTCTACAAACTATCAAAATGCAACTTTTGAATATCTATCAGAAATTACAAAAGGCATTATGAAGAGAAACAGGATTCTAACTCTTATGTATGCTTACTATTTAAGGAAATTAACAGAAAATATTTCTTATAGAAGATAACATGCATATCTAAACTCATATCTTACAGAATACTATTCTAAGGTATCTATTTACACTTATACCATTTTTGAAAAAATAGAAATCAATAAGATTTATAAAATCCAATTCACTATCTTATGCCTAATCCATTACCTATCATATACTAATTATATCTTTTTAATATAAGAATAATTTGTAAAACTTATTGCTTAGTGAAGAAGAATTGTTATACTTGATTTTTTCTCAAATATTTTCATTATCCTTATTAATTTTAAGTAGCATTTACCTTTGAAATATCTTATATTCAAGAATAATCTTTGTATTATTGATCTGTTAACTTTAGGTACTATACTTTTCATATTCTAGAATATTTTCTATTTTTCTTATTTATCTTTAATTACTTATCTTCACTAAAGCATTTCTCTTTATAAAAATACATATAGCAAACTGTTTTAATAAAGATAGTATTTTTCTTATAACTCAAATAGTATATATAGCATATATTTATTATGTACTCAATTATATATCAAAAATATATATATATATATTTTCAATTCCTTCTGGAATTACAAGATTAAACTTTTCTCTTTATTAAATAAATAACTTAATTTTTACAAACAAATCACTATTGTCTCTTTTACTTGACCTCATATATCTCAAAATTGTATTAATTTTAGTACTCCTTATAAACTTCAGCATATTACATTGATCCATTTATACAAAGTATTTCCTTGCTACTAGTTCTTCATCTATATTTTTCTTCTGAAGTAGAATGATATATAACAATATATAATAATAATAAACTTTAATAAAAATAATAATTATGAAAGGAATAATATTTTTGTCAAAATAATCAAATATATTTATATTGATAAAATAAATACTTTGTGAAAATAACTTTAAAAAAAAATTTAAAATAAAAGAGATAATTAAATAAATAATATAAGCAAAAATACTAAAATAAATTAATAATATAAAAATTTTAGAATAATAATAATTAAAAACTAAATATTAGTAAGCTTATATAAGAATAAATAAGAATATTGAACAAAGATTAATTATTACATTATATATTATATATTATTATATATTGTTTCTATTTTAAAAAAATATATAAATAGAAAACTAATAACAATGAAACAAAAAATTTATTTATTATAGTAAACATATTGTGAGGGGTTTTTCAAGTCCTTTCTAATACTTAGTCTTTTTAAGACTGAGGCATAATAATTTGGTCCAAGTATCCTTCTTACTCTACAAAAATAAACTCAATTCCATTTGTTAGTATGCACATTCGTCTACTCAAACTATACCAAAGTTCCTGTTGTAGCAATGGGCATTCACACTGACAACTACTTGAAACTCTTCCAAATTCCTTTATGGTCACAGTTTTACCTTCAAATGTCAAACATTTGCATAGTAGTTGGAACAAATAGTTGTTAAACAATTAGATGATTAGCAATTAGATGATTAATTTATTCAGACATTTTCCTCTCACTTATATACATGCTAGTTACAAAAAATTATATCAAATATATCAACTATCTAAACTATCGCTAATATATCTAATTTCTTAACTATATTAACTATCTGAAATAAAATGAAGAAATTAAAGAAAAGAAATATATTACAGATATCTCATTTTTCTCAGATTTGTCATTTTTGGAATCATCATTGCATACATTCATGTGACTATACAATTTCCCTTTTACAATATGTTTAAAAAAACTTTTAATAAAAAAAAAACTATTTATTTAAATATTAATTAATAAAAAACTCTTTCTGTTAATTCTTTTTTCAACTTGAAAAATAAATGTTTTCAAAAGATTTTATATATTTATGATAATAAAGTCTATACTCTTTTTTTAATAATATTGGTTTTTTAACCAAAAAAACAAGCATTAGTTTATTTTTTCTAATCACAATAACAAATGGAAAGAAAAAGTTAAATAATAATATGACTCCTATATACTAATATAAAATAGGCCTAATTTCTAAATAATAACAGACTTGTCATTAATATCAATCTATAAATAAAAAATATAATATATAAAAAAAGATTTATATGATTGATATATTATTTAATAAATATTAATTAATTTATAATAATACAATTTGTAATTGTTATATGAAACTATCAAAACTTATACAAAATAATAATTATGTAATCTCAGATATAATAAGTTGTTAAATTTTTATATTTTATATATTATAGATTAAATAATAGAGGCAAGAAGATTTTAATTTTTTATAAAAGAAATATGTGGATGAAGACAATAGAAAACAAAACTTTGAAGATATAAAATATTGTCTTTTGAAATAAATGTTAATTTAAATGGAGGTTTTTTTTTTTTGCAAATTATATGACAAGTATTATTGCCAATTGTTTAAACTTCTAAAAAAACAATTCTTTCAGATTAATATTATATTTCTACCAAAAAGCAAAAGAATACTTACTAGTCAAATATGAGCCTGCTGTTAGTGCTTGTTGAAAAAAAATTGTTTTTTTTTCTAAATAGAAATGTGTGTAGAAAAAAGTTTTTAAACAAAAAATAAATTTAAATATAACTTTTGATCAAGTAAATAAATTTAAATATAACTTTTTGATTAAATAAATAACTAATAAGAAATTATTAAAGGCAATAATATAAATACTGTATTTAAAATATATTTATATGAATTTGAACTTGAAATCTTTTAAACAAATGAATAAATTGGATAGAATAATTAAAGAGAAACAAAAAGTTTAAAAATATTTATTGTCCATAAAATCAAATAAAATTATAATACAATAATTAGTAAAAGCAACAAGATTTCTTGAATTATTTTATCAACATGTGACGATATAATAGAGTTGTGTTTAAAACTAAAGATAATTTAGCAATAATAATTTTAAATTTTAATTCAATTTACTATTAATTAAAAATAAAACAATTGACTCAGAATAAATTACAATTAATGATTGGTTATTAATATATAAATATAATATATTATTTTTAAAGCTACTTTTATCTAGTGTCAATAAAAATTTTAAAAGGTACGGTTAGATTTATACAATATAGCATATTTACTGTATAATGTAGAAGTATGAATAATCCGAGATCTATTTAGAACCAGATAGCACCGTATGAACCCATTAATGAACTAAAAAAAACTCGTTTTTAAGAGTCAAAATTCATTGAGTTTTAATAGACAACAATCGTGTCAGTAGTGAAGATTCTCGGTGTTTCTGCATACGCATATCTTTTATTATCAACCCAATAATGTATAAGATCCATCCGTAATGGTGCAATAGAAAAGTATATTTCGCGCATTTTTAGCCATTTGTTGAGTTTATCAGAGAAAAAAACGTACTCATTTGCGCGAGACCTTGGAGAAATACGACGGAGTACGGCGGAATTTATCTATTTCCCCGAACTTATCACGAACGACGTGATTTTAAACTAAATAATAAACCAAACTAGCTTAAGGAAACGAATATACACGCATACACTCTCGGTGTATTTATCTGTGTATCAAATTTAAATACTAGAAAATATTGGTTTGTTTGAGAACGTCTACACTTTATATACAGTATATACAGTATATGTGATTATGGTCACAGAATCACAAATGTAACGGTTACAGTAAAATAATCTGAATAATCGCGATGGGAAGACCACACAAATATATAAATATACACTATACTAAATATTTATGGTAATTATCAAAGGCAGAATTATATCGTCTAGCAGTTACATAAAATTTCTAGTCGTTATTTATGCCAGTTGCTAACCTTATAATAATAATAATAAACTTAATAAAAAAAGATAAAATGTAAAAATACAGTATATTTTATTATTTGCGATCTAAAAATAATAAAATACAATGGAGAAGACCGAACGTGTACTACTACTGTATACCCTTAAATGGTTTCTTAATATCTATAAACATCCGACATTAAAAAAATCCGAAAAGAAAAAGTTCGTTTCAAGTTAAGATAAATATGAAAATTAAAAAAACAAGATATTTAAAGGGTTTATTTTACATATATATGCACAAACGGAGCTTCTTTGATAAGATACACCTTCCTTTCATCCATTACCTAATTTAGATGAGCACAGATAATATAGATATCGTTATATGTATTTTTTTTTTTAAATAAAAAGACTTCGTCTCCATATCGTTATATGCTTTTTTTTAAATAAAAATGGAGGTAAAACAACTAGTTCGAGTGCAAAAGGTTGATTGACAAGGTTGAAAATGAAATCTTTCGTCACATTTATTCTCCTTTAAACTTTATCCGTGTATGCAAGTTATTTTATCTTCTATCGCTTGACTCACACTCGCGTGCAAAATGGGTTATATATAAGTATGGAAGAGCCTAGGCGTTATTTCATGCGGTAAGGCTCGGTCCGAACTTTATAAATATTCAAGTCGTAAAGGTAATATTGGCAAATGGCGGGATACTATCAAGATACTTCATCCAGAGGTTATTGATGCACTTTGGTCGATACGACAAAAAACTTATCGAATTAAAGATTGCACATAAGGTCGGGCAATTGGATCCTGATCACATTCGAAACTTTAAAGAGATTAAATCTCCCTGGGCGAGTAATTTACCGATTTCGGTGTTCACTTATTTAATCACTGAAGCATAAAATCAGCTAAAGATCAAGGAGTTAGCTCCTAAGGGAAATGATATGGAACTTTTTCACTTCTTATCCTCTGGTCCTCACTAATAAGCGAAGCTCCAGCTATTTTGAGTAAAAATAAAGGCCTCATTAAAGAGTTGATTCGTGAAATAAAGTTTATTCCTTTTCCACCAAGGCCAAAACCGAAAGAGACGACTCTCATCACTTATCGATCAACGTACCAGAAGAATATCCTCCTAAAGATGGTTACGAAAATAGTCGGCAATTGAATGTGATGGCCCGAACTATCTTAATCTGTAAAGATTTGGTGATCTTGTGGAAAGACATTGGCTATTACCAAATCTACAGCGATGTGAATGATTTGGTCATGCAAGGAGCCCTCCTAATTCTTTTCCCGCCTACGCCATCGTGTGGTTATGTTCGTCCCAATGTAAATAGGGTGAACGAAAGACTTGAAGAATTAATCAAACTTGGCTTTGATTTAACGTATAATGTGATTGGTGATGCAACTTTTTGAAAATAGATTATCAGATGTCGGCGGCATTTTTCTAGAATCTTTTGTAATAATCAAAGGTATAACCATCAAGGAACTTTTAGAAAAAATATTAGTAGAGTCAATTAAGCCAGAACGAAATTTGAAAAGTTTGAATTGTGGAATTTTTTGAATAACCATTTGGGAAAATCTATGATGAATATTTTAACGACGAAGAAGCGAAAAAATTCAGTAGTAAGATCGAATACCAAGAGGAAGCATTCAGGAAAGCAATGACAGAATATATGGAATATACCAACGAATCGTCAAATATTGCCAATAACTCCGATAATGATGATAATACAGAGGACGTTCCTAAACAATTTATAACTTCCTTGAAATTATTACCTAAATTTTATAGTTGGATTTTAAAAACCTTTGGAGCGAACGCTGATACAACGAAAGCTTGTTTTGATGATATCCTCAAAACGCGTGTTAGAAAGAAATGCAAGCACGGAGATTGCCAAGATAATGGCCGATTCATTCACTATATACCCGATTTGCATAGTCATAATAACACATAAATTAATGTATATAAGGAGTCTATCAACATCTTTCTGTTTTAAAAAATGGAGGTAAAGCAGCCAGTTCAAGTGCAAAGGTTAATAGACAAGGTTGGAAATGAAATCTTTCGCCAATTTATTCTCCTTTGAACTTTATTCGTGTATGTAAGTGATTTTACCTTCTATCGCTTGACTCACACTCGCGTGCAAAATGGGTTATATATAAATATGGAAGAGCCCAGGCGTTATTTCATGCGGTAAGGCTCGGTCCGAACTTTATAAATGTTCAAGTCGTAAAGGTAATGTTGGCAAATGACGGGTTACTATCGAGATACTTCATCCAGAGGTTATTGATGCACTTTGGTCGATACGACAAAAAACTTATCGAATTAAAGATTGCACACAATGTCGGTCAAATAGATCCTGATCGAATTCAAAATTTTAAAGAGAAGACTAAATCTCCCGGGCAAGTAATCTACCGATTTCAGTGTTCACTTATTTAATCACAGAGGCATCAAATCAGCTAAATATCAAGGAATTAGCTCCTAAGGGAAATTATATGGAACTTTTTCACTTCTTATCCTCCGGTCCCCACGTGATAAGCGAAGCTCCAGCTATTTTGAGTAAAAATAATGACTCATTGAAGAGTTGATTCGTGAAATAAAGTTTATTCCTTTTCCACCAAGGCCAAAACCGAAAAGAGACGACTCTCATCACTTATCGATCAACGTACCAAAAGAGTATCCTCCTAAAGATGGTTACGAAAATAGTCGGCAATTGAATGTGATGGCCCGAACTATCTTAATCTGTAAAGATTTGGTGATCTTGTGGAAAGACATTGGCTATTACCAAATCTGCAGCGATGTGAATGATTTGGTCATGCAAGGAGCCCTCCTAATTCTTTTCCCGCCTACGCCATCGTGTGGTTATGTTTGTCCCGATGTAAATAGGGTGAACGAAAGACTTGAAGAATTAATCAAACCTGGCTTTGATTTGACGTATAATGTAATAGGTGATATAATGCAAATTTTCGAAAATAGATTATCGGATGTCGGCGGCATTTTTCTGGAATCTTTTGTTAAAATCAAAGGTATAACCGTCAAGGAGCTTTTAGAAAAAATTCAATAGAGTCAATTAAGCAGAACGAAATTTGAAAAAGTTTGAATTGTGGAATTTTTGAATAACCATTTGGGGAAAATCTATGATGAAGATTTTAACGACGAAAAAGCGAAAAAATTCAGTAGTAAGATCGAATACCAAGAGGAAGCATTCAGGAAAGTTATGGCAAATTATATAGATATACAAACGAATTGACGAATATTACTGAAGGTACCTATAATGAGGATAATAGAAGAGCGTTCTAGAAAATTCATAACTTACTTGAAATTATTACCTAATTTTATATCTTTATTTTAAAATTTTTGAAACGACTGATACTATAACGAAAGCTTGTTTTTGATAACATTCTTTATATGCGTGTTAGTATCAACAAACAACTCATAGAATCAAAATTGTGAATTACCACTGGACAGATGGACAAAGGCTCATATGGGGTTACAGCAATATCGGTGTGCCTTTTAAATACAACCATACAATGAACTTATGAAGAAGTCCTTGATCCTTTGTTCAAAGGTTTTTTGCCGAAATTATTTAGAATGGAATCGACTAAACTTGTTATCTCAGCGTAGAAGATTCGAATAACCAAGCAACCAATAATCAAAATGACGAGGGTCAACATGAAGAAACAAGTATTAAAATCATATTACTGTTCGATTGCAATCATATCACTTCAAGGTCAGATCACAAAATCCTTGAATCAGACAATCAAGACGACGAATTAATCTTGTGATTCAATCATTTATTGATATCTGGTGATAGGCACATCTCAATTTAAGAATGGTAAGAAAAGGCCATTGGTTTCAATTGATATATAAAATGAAGTGCCTTTAAGTGCAGCAATATCTATCCCATGAAACTAATGAAGTTCTTTGTCATCTTTTCAAACCAAAATTATTTAAGCTGCAAATTACGTATAGGGTATTCGAACATTCGACTGGGCACGTGAATAATGCTCAAATACGATATGCGAAACATCACGTTACAGTACCGTAATTATACCATAGCCTGGAACTAATTATGAACTCTCGAATACCAACCAACAACAATTAAAAATTCAGTAATTGATATATCTTAGCTAAAGAAGAAAAAGAAATCTCCGGCCCATGTTAGATATGTCTTCACGTATCATCTTACTAGATGCCCCAATATAGAATCTTTCACCTCTTCTCCTGGGATTAATGTTCTATAAGTACTTCCCTTATTCGCCAGTTCTTTAATAATCAACGAGTCCATCTATTTTTTGAGCGAAATTAAGGAATTCATTGAAGATGATTCTTAAAATGGAATTTTGTCCAAGAATAAAACCCCAAAGAAGCAACAACGTTATTTATTATTCGATATACCAAATGAATGCCTTAAGTGTGTCTATAAGAATAATGGACCAGCGAGTAAATGCTCTGGAACTATGAACTAAAAAGATCCTGGACTTGTAGGCAAAGATCGGGAATTGCAAAACGATTAGGAACGAAAAAATTACGAGATATCCTGGATCAAATAGTTTACATTAAGGAGACTACAGAGGATTAAGGAGCTTACCAATTCTTATTTCAAGAAAACAAATCGCCTTTTGTAAATGTACTGTAAGAATTTAGGATTTTATTGTGTAGTATGTCGTGGTTCAACTTTACAATACAGAATTGTAATTAATGACAAAATATTTTTTATACATATTTTAGAAAAACAAACCGAAATGTTCGGACAATTCTTCCGGTTTGTTAAAATATTTTGATCAAGATATATTGTAGGATCGTCTGATTTGAGAATTTTGTGATCTGACTTCGAAGTGGTATAATTGCAATGATAGTGTATACTTTTTTCTTCATGTTTACCCTCGGCATTTTAATAATTACGCAGTAGCTTTGTTATTCGAATCTTCTAGGCTGAGATAATAAGTCGTAGTCGATTCCATCTTAAATAATTTCGGCAAAAAACCTTTGAACAAAAGATCAAGGACTTTTTTCATGAGTTTGTATGATAGGTACTATACGTGGTTGCATTTGATGCTATTTTAATATTAATTAAAAACATTGTCATTTACTTTAATTATTCAATTACATTGGACTTTAAACGGTTGTTACTATAATGGAATATTCGATTCCTAATTTTAAATGTAATTTCATCGTGTAAAAGAATAAACTAAGGAATTAATATATAGATAATAATTTAATACATAATGTCACTGTGTTAGTACGTTTGTAAATAAAAAACAAAAAATTAAAAATTGCAATCTTATTTTCTTTCAGTATTGTCGTTTTTGAAAATAGTTCCATGATAACGTTCTAAAACTCTATGGGTATATTTTGATTCTATGAATAAGAAGAAATCATATTTACCATTTTTTATTATTTAAGGGAATGAGTTGAGTCATTGGCACTGTACTGCATCACAAATATTTCCGACTAAACATATGGTTCGTGATACATTACTGACAAACAGGTACCATAATATTGAACCAAATTACTTTATTCTTATAGATGTTACAATTTATGCATTTATAATATCAGAAGCAATTAGAAGATTCGAACAGTTACTCAAGATTATCATGACTTCTAATGCAAAAGACAATAAAAGTACGTTAGTTCTGTCGTAGGTTTTTCGGTGATACGTAATCATACGTACTTCGGAGATAGTATTGAATAAAGAAGTAAAAATCTTTTAATTAATCGAAGACCAAAACTAATTATTATCAAGTCCTAGGGCAAATAATTTGCTGCTATCATTTGTTTGCTTATTTATCTTTTAATAAATGATATAGAACTTTCTCTTGGTTCTGTCTTAAATAGATAACGTTAGATAAATTTAGTTGCTAAAAACATTTTGATCTGTCGATATTGTGAAAATTGGCGGATAGTAATTATAACTGACGGCTGAATTCCTCGAATATTTGGGTTGATATAGTATGTGACTTACCGTACTTTTAATTGTCAGGCACTTTTTATGAACAAATTAGATGCAAATATAACGTATTTCGGATTCTCTTTGCACTATACTATTTTCAATCGTCCAACCTTCTGAAATATTATTGTAAATCAATTTTATTTAAAGATTTTACCATCAAAATTATCAAACCGATTTCAATTCAAAGCTAAATGGTTAGTCTTGTTAATTTGATTTCAAAAAAAATTACAATATTTAATCAAGCGTACATTATGCGAGAACTATATTTTGTCATATATTGTATACTGTAGTATAGATAACACACTTTAAACTACATAAAAAAAAAAAAATCCTTTACTGGAAGTTTCTCCCTTCATTAGTTTAAATAAATAGTTTATTAATAATTTACTGTTTTTTTTTTTTTTTTTTTTTTTTTTTTTTTTTTTTTTTTTTTTTTTTTTTTTTTTTTTTTTTTTTTTTTTTTTTTTACAAATTTCTTGTACGAGAATTGGCTTAAGTAATTATTTCTTTGGCGTCTATTTCTTGATTAAAGGTTGTCAGACAGTTATGCTTATTGTTTTACGCAATTGTTGATGACACGACAGTGGCCAGGTATTCACTCAACGTATATTTGAATAAACTTCTATCGCTAGTAAAAAAATTACGGTAAGATGCTTCCTCTGTTTATTTTTTTTATGTACTGTTTTCAGAATCAATTCTAGTTTAAACTAGTTTATAAGTACTCTTAAACTCCTTTTTTTTTTACCGAAAAAGTGTTTATTATGTATCATAGGAATAGAATTTTGTATTAACTTTATTGAGCATGTTGCTAAATACGTTCCTATTTACAAGGATAAATGATTACATAATATTCTAAAATAAGGATCTAAATATTTTATAGTCACGATGTTGTCTACTGTATAAGTTTTATTTTTATCTTTTTTTAAATCGGTTAGCAAAATAACTACTTCAATAAAACATAAAGAAATTACTATTTTGAATATGTATTCACTATTAAATACTATAATCATTGAATTCAATGTACTTCAAATATTTACTTCAAGAGGAAAATTGATCAATCAAAATATTATTTTGTAAAAGCCCGTCATTGTTATATTATCTTAAATAAAATTATATATTATGAACCCAGTTTGATATAAACGTTTTTTAAAAAATATTTTTATTCTAACTAAAATATTGTTTCATTTAATTTAAGTTTTTATATATGAATTTATAGCATAACAATAAAAAATATTATAATGTTATATTAATAAAAGATCTAATTTTACTAAAATAATTATTCAAAAGTTAAGATATAACTTTAATAAAAAATATATTTTTTTACCATAAAATATAAAGTTAATAAGTATCAATTGTCTAACTACTAGATATATATACCTTTATTATCTTTAAAAAAAAATAAAAAATAAAATCAATACTGGATTAAGTATAATAATTATATTAATTAAATTAATAAGCAGTTTAAAATTATATAATGAATTAATTTTAAAATTTTTTTATTAAAGATAATTTTTTATTATAAAAATAATTTTTATTTTCAAAAAATTTTCAAAAAATATAAATAAAAAAGTTTTTAAAAATAATAAATTTTTTTATTATTAATATAAAACATAATCCTTATTAATAAAATAAATATACTATAAATGCATGTTATATAATTAATATTAAAATATAATATATTTATTGTCATATATGATTTCTATTTCAAAAGAAAAATAAAGATGAAAAAAAAAAAGAGTAGCAAAAAAACATTTTGTATGAATAGATCAATGTAATATGCTAAAGTTTCTAAGGGAATATTAAAATTAATACAGTATTGAGATACCTAAATTCAAGAAAAAAAGACAATAATTATTTGTTTTATTTTTATTTTTATTTTTTTTTATTTTTTTTTTTTTCGGCTAAAGTGAGACTTTACTCTAGTTTATTAATATAGATAGTTTTTTACATACGAATTACATA